TGTGTGCCTTTGGCAGTCTCAGTCTTTTTCATTGTATTCATCCTTCTATTTAATTGTTAATTAAATTGTTTTGGAGTGCATTTAGACCACTGTTGAATGAGATAGATCCTTGATAGTTACTCAAGGATCCCTGATTAGCTTCCTTTGTTGTTTTGGGCTTTTTTAGACACACAAAATAATACAAAAGTTGGAGGCGGAAGCAGCCCTGTGAAAGTTTTGTGACCGCATGTTTCTCTTCTGACCTTTCACCTTTGGACAACCTGTAGGTTCAGCAGTGCGACAGAGCAGAGCACAGCCTCCAGGCTTCTCAAGCGGCACCGCAGACGCAGGAAACAGCGCCCCCCACGTCTGGAGAGGGTATGTAATGTTCAGCTATCCTATTCACCTCACATTCTCTCATGTTGTTGTTGTTGTTGTTTTGTCATGGTGTTCTTTGGTAAATCAAGTGTAGAGAGCCATTGAACTGGTTTGCTCAGAGGACATATTTCTGTCTCTCATGGCAATTTTGTGGTTCCCCCGCCCAGGCCTCCTCCTTCAGCAGCGTGACGGACTCCACCATGTCCTTGAACATCATCACCGTCACTCTCAACATGGGTCTGTAACCTCTGATTGATAACATCCATAAACAATGTGTCAAAGGAAATGCTGTACTACACAGATCTGTGCGTGGTTTTAACACTACTTTTGATTTTTCAATAATACAGAGAAGTACAATTTCCTGGGCATCAGCATCGTGGGCCAGAGCAACGAAAGGGGGGATGGAGGCATCTACATCGGCTCCATCATGAAGGGAGGAGCTGTGGCTGCGGACGGACGCATCGAGCCGGGTGACATGCTGCTGCAGGTGAGGAGAGAGTGCTTTCATCTTTATTTTAAATACATTTGTATATGGATCTTTTGTTGAATACTGGTGTAGCTTTTTAGCTTTTCCAGAGTTTTTTTTTATAAGCTTATAAACAGAGGTTCAGATTTGAATTTGGAATTAAATAGTTTTGAAGTGCTGAGATATATGAATGTGTGTTACTGGTTTTTACCACTAAATGTAATGTCTCCTTTCAAATGCAAACAAACTCATCAGTGCCTTTTGAAATGATAATTCTCCAAAAAAATGTGAGACAGAAAATAAATGTGAGAGGTTACAGAAAAGCAGACCCGGAAAAATGATCTATGTTCAACAGTTATCAAAATACCTGAAATCCTTTTCTTGTTCTCTAAAAGGTGAATGACATCAACTTTGAGAATATGAGCAACGACGATGCAGTGCGGGTCCTGAGGGAGATTGTACACAAGCCAGGGTGAGCTGCTGTTTTTCTCCCTTTAGACATTATCAGTTTGGTTTGTCGCATTGATAATAATGTTCTCTTGTTGGGTTTATTGCCAGGCCCATCATCCTCACAGTGGCAAAGTGTTGGGACCCCTCTCCTCAGGGCTACTTCACTCTGCCTCGCAGTAAGCACCGTTTCCCCTCTTACCTTAATACGTTTACTGCCGTGACAGCTTCCTAACCTCTTCTCCTCCTGTGCAGATGAACCAATCAGACCCATCGACCCGGCAGCGTGGGTGAGCCACTCGGTGGCCATGACCGGAGCTTACCCCGCCTTCCCAGGCAGCTCCTCCCTCAGTACCATCACCTCCTCCTCCTCCGTCACCGAGACCGAACGTGAGAACCATAAACGATATCCTCCACTGCTTTACCCAGTTTCTTTGTCTGTGTGGATATCCAAAGCCTGGATGAGGTTATTTTTGTAAAGTATCTGTTTCTCTGCTTTTGACGCTGTTGTTATGAGACTTGATAAATGATGTCTGCTTCTTTCATGCCCTAAACTTACCCTCCTGACTTTCTCTACTACAATTTCACTGTCTGTTCTCTTTTATTTATCCTTATATATCTGGACTCCTTCGTCCTTCCTTCCTTTTTTTGTTGTTTTATAATTACAGAGCACAAACAACAAAATGAAATACACTTAAAACTATCAACATTCGGAGTTAAAAAGGTCAGAAGCTGGTAAAGCCCCTGTTACACTGTCCCGAAATTGACACAACGATTGAGGAAATGTTCAAATTCGGCTCTGATCGTAACAACATCGGGCCATTCGTGAGGGCATCTTAAGCCATCGTATGACCGCCAGTGGAGTTTCTCAGGCTCCGGCAGCAACTTCGGGAGCGGCAACTTCGTGAGCG